GAGGGAGAGGGAGAGGGAGAGGGAGAGGGAGAGGAGCATCCTCACCTCCATTGCCGTCATTGAAATTTGTGATCCACCTTCTGCTAAGTTTTGAAATGCATCTAAGAGTAGAACAAAAAAAAAATCTATTTCATAAAGAGAAAGCAAGAATGCAATGCAGACATAAGGCTCTGAGAGCTGAGGACCAGAGCTGTGATCTCTGCGCAGGGATGCTCTGCCTGGCTCAGGTGTCCACACATGCTGTCCTGCCTAGCCACATTTCATTTCTGTGCTGGGTACCCCTTCAGCCTGTCCCTTGGATCACAGCCTGAGAAAGCATTCCAATTGTAGGGCCAGAATTTGGCAAAAGTGTAGGGGCAGGGAGTGCTCAGTGTGGCTGCTTTCATCTCCTCTCATAATTTGTTCCAATAGTAGCTCCCGCCTGAAGACTGACAGGAGAATGGTGAACTAATGAAACACGTCTTCCCACAGGGAAACTTTCTGTTGGTCCTTTTCCACCCTCCTTGGCAGTGAGCGATCACAGTGTGTCCTAAAGAAAGTGAATCTCTTGCATTCATTAGTATGCCTTACAAGCTTTTTCAAGGGAATATAAATGCAGATGCTGCTGTTATTCAGCTAGAGTTTGAAATTAACATTGCTGAAAGTTTTCTGACAGAACACTTTACCATAAGAAAAATTTAAATCCATTCAAATATTGATATTCTATATGCACATCTATATTGCAGTTTGTCTCGGAGAAATGTTCAGAACCAAGTGTTTGGATAAAGTCAAAACACAATTTTTTGATTCTTATTTATTTTGAAATCACTTTTCTCCTAGACATGTGTTGTTAGAAATAGTAATAAAAAGTCGAAACAAATTTAAGTCTGTCTATCCTTGAATGACACGCTTCTCCAGGAGCCTATTTCCCCACTTTGAACAGAAAAGGCATTGTAAGATCATGAATGTTTCGAAACCCGTGCGGCTTTAGGTAAAAGCGCAAGGCTGTTGGGAGATGCTGCTCATCTGCCCCTTTAGGAAGCAATCAGAGCTATGTGTACAATCCAGAGCAGAGATGAGGCAGGGGGGGAAGCTAACACAGTGAGGCACATCCAGCCTATACTGCTCTGAAGAAAGTGCATGGAACAAGGAAATCCCCACGTTACTCCCAGTCCCTTGACAAGGTTGTATTTACAGGGCTGGGCTTGCGCCCCACAGCCTTTTTAGGAACAGACAGCAGTGCTGAAGTTACCTCCTCCGGGCAGAAGTAAGCGCCCCTTTACTGCTTCATTAACTCCTGTTAAATAGTTTGCGAAGAAGCTGCTGCTTTTGGTTTGGGTCTCATCTCTGGCTATCTTGAAAGGATGAGCAATGATTTAATGGGACAGATTTTATCTTTCCTGCTGCATTCACATCGTCATAAAGGTGGACTGCATTTTATTCCCACTTGGCACCATTATCCTCTCCTGTAACAATCTTATTCACAATGATTTGAAAAGTTGGAGAAATGTATTCCACATTAAACCCTCTGTAAAGTGATAACTGAAAGAGTTGAGAGCATTTTAAGATACTCATTACAGACAGCAATGAAGCTTTTAGAGATTCCTTTCCACATGGATGTAAAGGAGTCATCTTTACACCGGCACTTAAAATGTAAGAGGATCTTTTTTAGGACGAAAAAAACCTGCTATGGTACTAAATTTAGGCATAAGAGTTTTCATCTACAGCAAGTGACATGTATAATCACAAAAAATCCATGTTTACAAGTTATCTGTTTTTTAATGAAAGCATTAAAATCAGGACATGCGCTGACTTTCTGAGCTGTTTCTGCTGTTCTTCCCTGAAATGGGATTTTAGGCAGCATTATTCGGGCAGCTCCGCTGACCACTATTGGCCTATAAAACATCAGTGGTAAAAACACATGGGAAAAAGCGAACACTCATTTCCATGCACTGTTGAAACCCAGCTCATTCCAAAGATGAACTAAATTGCTGTAGCAATGGTCTAGCACATGGGTCACAATTGCTGGGTTTGTTTAACTACCAGTTTTTCCTGTCAAAATGCTTATTATTAGAGTAGTAAAAATTATGATTTTTGTAAAACAGAATTCCATTTACTTTCAGGCAAAAGCTTGTTCATAGACACTCCCTCCTTGCAACCACCAGACAATAGCTGGATTCAACACAGGGCATGGGTTTGTTTAACCACTGAGAAGGATCTCAGACCTTCTCCTTAGCAAAAAACTGAGAGAACTTTACTGAAGTTGGTGGGAAAAACATCTCTCTAGTTTAAAAAAAAAAAAAAAGCACGTCCCTTGCTGTGATTCAGACTTCTCTGACTTTTAACCAAAAGAGAAAGCCTTCCACTTGAGATGTGATGCCTCATTCCTCTTCACTGGGCATGAATGCATGAGGATTGCGGGTACCACTGCCCTCAGTGGTATCCGCAATCCTCCACATCACCCTGGACGAGTGGACCGGGATGCTCAAGCTTGTGTGGAAGGGCACCAGCACAAGGACACATCTTGTTTTCAGAAAGTGACTCTTAGTGCATAGGGGCTCTAAGAACAAGCCTGCAGAGGCCAGGCTAAATTCATGCAGCAAAAAAGGATTGGCAGCTGAAGCAGCTCTGGATATACATTACTATCACTCCTCACCAGGAAAAAACCCGGGGCAGCATGGTGCCGCTGCAGCCCACAGGCACTCTGATGAGCTCTGTGGAGAAATTGAAGGCCAAACTTCCTTCTCCTTTCAGCAAAGGCATCACTGTATTCCCAGCTGCTGCTTTCTCTCAGCACTAAACCGCTCTCTACCAGCCAGTTGCTTCTGTAGGTGGGATTCGAATCCGGCTTCTGGCAACCAGGCTGCCCAAAGGGATGCCTGGACTTTGGGCAGGTTTGTTGTTTCCAAGCCACGCTGCTAACCATGTATTATCATGTCTCACATTGTGTTCCTCACCTCCTGCCGCTGCCCTCAGTCTGGCTTTGCAATCCCCTTGCTGCCACGTCCCCTGCCCCACCCCAGGCCCTGGCACCCAGACTCACAGGTCATGGTTTCGAGGCGCAGCATGCAGCACACGAAGTCAGAGAAGCCGATTCTCCTGGCAGCATCACCGTACCGCAAAGCCATCAGGCGCAGGAGCTGCTCATTAGTGGGCAGACCTGCAGAGGGAAGAGGGACAACAGCACTGGGGACACGCTGTGGGATGACGGACCGACTGTGATGGCCTTCTGCACCCTGCAAAGAAGCAGAGGCCCTCCCTCAGCCCCCCCACCCTGTCGTGCCAGGTCTCTGCACCCCTGGGCAGCAGCTTGCCCTTCCCTGGGTTTGTACATAAGAGGCAGCGTAGGGTGATGGAAAATCAAAGTCCTTCTAGTTGCTTACTCGAATTGTGGATTAGGTCAGCAAGCAGGAAGCACGGAGCTAACTAATCTAGTGTTATCTCGCTTTGCCTTTCTAGCTTTCATTTTCTGCGAGAAAGGGTGATTTTCTTTGGCTTATAACTGTTAAAGTCTGAGCATAGAATTTACAATACCACTGTCGCTTTCTGCTAAACAGGGAGATACCACACGCTCATGCTATTATGCGGTATAGCATGCCTGGGATTCTTAATTTTTACATTTTCTCTTCTATCAGAAAAAGGTGAAGGGTGCATTTCTTTTTTTATTAGCTGATTATTCAGTATTTGTGTCACAGTCTGTTTGGATGGAAATTGGTATTCAATTGAATGAACGAAAATTGCCTTTTAGAACGATTCTTTTATTAGTTAAATAAAACTACCCTAAATGTGCTGGCTACATAAGAGAAATGATTTAAATATACTTTGCACTAAAAGCTGATTTACTAAACAAAAGAGTCATTTTCTGCAGAGAGCTGGACTGATAGCATTGGTTTAATACATTCTCTGAGACTTCAGAAAAGTCTCATTTGCTCACTCCTAGTTTTTAGTGGCTCAGCTGGAATAAAAGCTTTCCTGTTTTTTCAACTAGCTCTAAACTTTTCAGGTTTAAATGAACTCATTGTGGAGCCAAATTACTTGAATAAGCAGAAAATAAGGAAACTATTTATCTGCACCTGCATAGGGGGAGATACAGCTGGTGTTCAGCCTGGAGAAGAGAAGGCTCCGGGGAGACCTTCAAGCAGCCTTCCAGTACCCAAAGGGGGCCTACAAGAAAGCTGGAGAGGGACTTTTTACCAGGGTGTGTAGTGACAGGACAAGAGGCAATGGCTTTAGGCTGAAAGAGGGGAAATGTAGATCAGATCTAAGGAAAAAATTTTTCATTCTGAGGGTAGTGAGGTACTGGAACAGGTTGCCCAGGGAAGTTGTAGATGCCCCATCGCTGGAAGTGTTCAAGGCCAGGTTGGATGAGGCTTTGAGCAACCTGGTGTAGTGGAAGGTGTCCCTGCCCATGGCAGGGGGGTTGGAACTAGATGATCTTTAAGGTCCCTTCCAACCCTAACCATTTTATGATTCTATAGAAGTGGGTCAGCATGTTGACAAACTCTAGTTGCATGAGCCTAGCTGGAGAAGGTCTCCAGCAGGAAGCAGACACACAATGCTGAATATTTAAATAATGGAAATACATTTGGGTTTAGGATACATTTCAAATTAAGATAAACATACTTTTATATTTTTTCTAGGAGAAAAAGTTAATAATTAAAAAAATCTAACTAATGAAAGTTTTTCTCTGAGTCTGGTATTAAAGCACTGCCAAGAACCACTGTAGTAGTGAGCAACGAACCCTATATCATTTTTAACATTCTGAAGGCAGTGGGAATTCAATCAAGCTCTCGCTGGAGAGCAGATTCCAGCAAGCATTGTACTGTTGCTTACAAGATGTTATAATCATGTCTCACACTAGTAAAACCCTGACAATTCAGCATGGTCAGTCTGGGATATACTTGCTGTGAAATCTGCTCACCTGGCAATGTCTCTCAATCAACCTCATCAACAAGACTGAAGTGTCAGTCCTCTCTCTTCCCAGGATGTTTCAGTTATGTGCTGTTGCTTATTTGTGAGGTCACTCCTCACATCTTTTGTCTGCTGGATTCCTCGCTCTGGTTTTAGTTAAGCTTTAAAATACAGACTTTATGTTCCTCTATTTTTTAAAATTATTTTGATGCATTTAACATGGCGAGTGCGGAGTTTGTTAATATTCCAGGAGAATGCTCCTGCATTTCAGGACAACACTGCTGTTAATGCAGCTAGTCTGCTTTACTCTGGCTGAAAATTTGACCCATCACTCTTATGCTTTGAAGCATTAGGACAACAGGGAAAATTAAGCACACACTTTGGTGTTTTACTGGGGAAAGCACTGAACACTTCATGCTAGAGCTGGCTGGGAGCTGTATTTAGATGCATTAGTGCCATTCCCAGAGGTAGCACCAGCCTCACAAACTCTTTCTGAGGCTGTCCATTCCTTCCTGCTTGAAAGCCAGGAAGATCGTCCTAAAGCAAAGCCAGATTCAAATGCATTTGTCTGGCTCAGAAGGAGGCAAGAATGAGCTTATAATTTTCTTTTTTTCCTCCACTCAGAACTGCTTATAGCCTAACATGTATTGAATTTGCCATTTAATAGCGTCTTTTTATCCCTTCAAACAGCTGCACTGTTTTGGCTGCCAGGGCTTCTCAATGTACAATTTTCCTCCCAGTTTTACACTTTAGCACCTTTCTTACAGAATGGACCTGGCAGCTTCTCCTTTGACATTTGGCACATTAGTGCTGCTCTCCTCAAGCAGATGCTAATGCTCTGCCCACCTCTCAGCTACAAAAAAAATTACACATACATCCCCTGAGCTGACGGCTTCCGCAGATAGCACTGCTGCACCAGGTTTCTCCTGAGGACACCGCCACTCCAAGCTCCAGGCAGACAAATGGGAGCTTCCCTACTGTATGATTAGAAGAGGATTGCTGTCTCGGAGCTGTATTTCATGTACGAAAGTCTCCAGAGAGATGACCCAGCTAAAATGCCTCACTCGTCTGTAGGGGTCCCACGCTTTTCACTGCAAGTTTCAGCATTCCTGTAGCCAACAGAGGTCAGTGCAAACTAAATAAACGTCTGTCACTGTGGCTTTCCCTTACAGACTTAGTCATTGTCCTGGAGGGAAACTGCAGGAATGGGGGTAACTGCAAGCATCGGCTGTTCCTTGCTCCTTTCCTCTGCTGGATGTTTTGTCCATGACCTAGAGAGACTATGGATGAACCAGTCTACAGGTCCTGGCCAGCACTGTGCTTCTCTGCATCTCTCTGCTGGCTCCCCAGCTGCAGGGCAAAGGGTTTCTCCCTGAAATAAGCTTTCTGTCTCAATGCCCTAAACTAACGCAGACCTCTGAGCAGAGCTCTGCTCTTACTGGCACCTCTGTGCAATTCAAACCGCTTTCTCTTTTCTTTTTATTTCTCCTCTGTTTCATCCTTTCCTTCACTGCCACAGGGACAAGAAAAGGAGCTGCTCAGCACCTATGGTTGTACCTGCTGTCTGTATCGCACTCTTCAGTTCAGACACATCAAGAAATCCAGAATTATTTTTGTCTTCCTTGCTGAAGATATCCTAAAAAAATAGTGTAAAGGCAGATTTCAAGCCTATATCGGCAAAAAATTTACTACTACATCTAATTATGTAGGATGCTTTCCCTCCTTAATAAATAGGCTGCAAGGAAGCTCAACGGATGAGATGAGGTGACCATGACAAGGGATACTCATTTCCAGAAGGCTCAGACAATATGTTGCAGTGTCAGAAATCCCATGGTTTGGAGTGAGTGGAAGCCTTTTTCTCACTCTCCCTGGTTTATGTGTGCAGGCAGCAATGGGAATACTCGCACCTCCACTGCCAAAAAGACATTGGCTGTTACACATGAAATGAGCCAGGAGTCCCTGAGTCCCAGAACAGTGTGCGGTTATCTTTCCCAACGCACCACTGAAACCCCACA